GACTGCACATTTCTTTTTTAATTCCGTTTCACTTGTGTTTCTGCCACCACTGGATCATGGCTTTTCTGACAGGCACTCTGATTATGATTATTCCCTTGAGCAGTGTTTTCACTTCTTCTTTCAGTCATGCTTAGTTTTTTGAGGTGGGTTTCGGTCTGTCGTGGGTGTCGTGTGAAAGCAGGGCTCCCATATGACACCTGTAGCTGGGCGGTAATTGAGCCTGACGTCACTGATGGCAAATCTCTTTCTCTAATATGAACCTTCACCTTTAAACCTCCTTGATCTTTTCCAGGTACACTTGCAATGGACAGTAAACAATTGTTGATTGTTGTACGTTCATTCTCTTTGTTTAGCACATTAGTAGTAGAGTTAAGCATTACTGTCATGGTACTGGCTTGAATTATAGTTACAGAATATACACAAAACACACAAAAATCTGCTTTTTTCGGCACAGAATCACTGTTATTTTCATATTAGGTATACAAATAAGCCAGTAAGCACCATGATTTTGCTGATGTAGTAAATAATGAGAGGCTTGTGTGATTTGTTCGAACTCAGTTGGATTGTTTTATGGTAAAACAGTTTTACAGTTTTTCTGTAAATGGTACCATGTTAATACTATGCTATTGGGCATATGGGCTACTATGGTATTCTTTGAAGTACCTTTCAGAAGTTTAAGTTTCAGAAGACATTAATACTTTTACTCAGGAAGGTGTTGTGTTAAATTGATCAAAGGTGATAGTAAAGTAGGGGTGCTCCGATCATGATTTTTGAGGCCGATCACAGAAAGCAGTATCTGCCGATACCGATCACCGATACCGATCTTTTTAAAGCCTTCTTTTTATAACTTATAACTATTTATAGTGATACTTCAATCAGGATTTTTAGACATTTATTCAGGGCCTGAATATCATTTTTGAAAATGGGGGAAATTCCCGGTGCAGGTGTCGCTCATTATCAATTACTCCACCGGCCTCGCTCCGTTCCCACGGCTCTCAGCCCCGCCCCCACTCGTCACAATGTTCTTTTGGACGCTCTATGCATTAAAATAATCCTGAAAACAGGTATCATGGTTTCCACAAAAATTTTAAGCAGCACAACTGTTATCAACATACCTCCTCGACCCAGGAGCGCGGCAGCGAGCTCTCTGTCCCACCTCGTCTTCCATCGTTCCAGCACCACTGCCTCGGGCAGCCACCGGCGGTTTCTCTGCTTGTTCCTGCTGCCCGATCTCCTCAGCACCGCGATCCCCCTCAGCAGCGAAGGCTCTCTGACAGCGTGTCCCTCCTTCCTCCCGGGTTTCGGCACCAATGTAACAACGTTTGTAGTCACGGGAAGAAGGAGGCGGGAACCGGCGAACATTTAAATAAAACTTTAATACAATAAACAAACGCAAAATGAAAGTAAAGCGGCAGCCCCTCGCAGACGACTGCCGCACACAAAACACAAAATAAAATCCAGGCCTGGTCCTCTCTTGTCTTTCACTGTCGTAACTCCTCCTTTTATCCTTCCGGAGCTCCTCCGTGGGACTCGAGACCGGTGAGTGGTGCAGGTGTCGCTCATTATCAATTACTCCACCGACCTCGCTCCGTTCCCACGGCTCTCAGCCCCGCCCCCACTCGTCACGATGTTCTTTTGGACGTTCTATGCATTAAAATAATCCTGAAAACAGGTATCATGGTTTCCACCAAAATTTTAAGCAGCACAACTATCAACATTTATAATAATCAGAAATGTTTCTGAAGGGAGCAACAAATCAGCATATTAGAATGATTTCTGAAGGATAATGTGACACTGAAGACTGGAGTAATGATGCTGAAAGAGAGAAATATATTCAAATAGAAAATACTTATTTTAAATGAGAATAATGTTCACAATATGACAGTTTTACTGTATCTTTGATAAAATAAATCCAACCTTGGTGAATATTTAAAAAAAAAAAACATTCAAAAAATTCCCAACCCATTTCAGCATCATGATTTAAATAAAAATACCATGGTATTACCATCTGATCCCACAGTATTTTAATAAAATGTGAAGCTCACAGAAATAAATCACAGTCTGCCTATAACAGAAACAAAAGTGCTGGCAAATGGGATTCAGTCAACAGTGCCTCTTCAAACAAGCTAAAAAGTAAAAAGGATTGTGACCGGATCAATGTCGAGGGTGGTGTCAGTGAGTTTTTTCATCGAGCTAGCAAAAGCCCTCGACGTTAGAGATTCCCTGCCTCCTGCCCTCTCCACCTTCTCCCTTTTTCCCCTCCATCTTTTCCCTCCTTCATTGCTGTCTTCATGTTCGTCAGTAAGTGACTACATCTGGCCGTGGTTTGATTAGGTGAGTTGTGCTTATGCCTGCAGCCATATGGGTTTTGTGTTAATACTGCTAGATTAGCCAGCAGCAAACGTGACTGAAGATTTTCCGGTCGCCTCCTTTCACCCCCCACCCAGCACATCCGTGTCAACTCCCAATTCTCCCTCCTCTACTCATTTTTCATCTTGATGGTGGCACCTTGCCGTGAACGCATTAGCTGATATTGGCACACTGATCTGTGTCTCAGTGTTTCACTGCACTTGATGTGACATACATGCCAACAGCTTGTATAACCCTTAAACACACTCCTGCTAGCTCACGTTTATTCTGGAAAACTCTTCTGGCCGCTGTGAGGACTGACAACACAACCGTTCAGGACAGAAGTAAGGGTTATGACCATCATGACATCATGGTTTCTCCTCATTCCGTTATCAGCATCATCAAGATAAACTTTAGCACAGTGATAAAGATTTCCCCTCATCACTTCTGCTTTCCAAACATCTTGTAGCAGGATTGGACAGTTACACACCAGTGCTCTTTGTGTCTATGTACTGAATGAGTGAATCTCACAAAAACATGCCCAGGGCACATTTCAGAATACCATGAAGCCAAACATACATATATATTTATTTAATAGTAATAATATTATTAATTATATATAAATGTATACTATCTATTTATTTAATTTATTTATTTATGTGTATTTTTGCACATTTTTCACGGTTGCTCCATTTATTTGATCAAAAACACAGCAAAGAAAAATAATATTGTGAAATATTATAATTTAAAGTGTTTCTGTTTGAATATATTTTAAAGGGGTCATATGATGCTTTTTTAAAGATCATTATTTTGTGTATTTGGTGT